GGGGAGGAGGGGTCTGTACCGGGCTGCGGGGCCCGGTTACTGGCAAAGAGATGGGTGTACTGGGCTGGTACCGGGGAACTGGAAAGCCGGTAGTGGGGGACCAGTTTGGGGCTGGGGAAGGCACTGGGGAGTGGGACCCATCGGTACCAGGGCACTGGGTTGCCCATGGGGACCTGTCCCTATCACCTGTGACACCATCACCAGCTGGGCCCAGCACCCATCACCGGTGTCCTGGTGTCCCTGGGGTGTCCCCGGTACCGGCTGGGGGAAGGATCCACCGCCACCCCAGTGTGACCCCCCCCCCTTGGGTGGTGCCTGCTCACCCCTTCTCTCCTTGCGCCGCAGACGGGACCCAGGAGGACACTGGCAGCACTGAAACCACACCGGGGTGCCGGGACGGGATGGACACCAGCAGTGCTGATTTGGGGCCACAATGCCAGGCTGGGGCAGATGCCGGCAGTGCCGAATCGATGCCAGTGAGTCAGGACGGTGAGGACACCGGCAGTGCTGATTTGAAGTCACCGTGCCAACACCGAGCAGATGCTACCAGTGCCAAATTGACACCAGGCAGTCAGGACAGGGCAGGCACTGGCAGTGCCAAAATGATGCTGCGGTGTTGGGCTGATGCTGGCAGTGCCAACTGGGGGCTGCAATGCCAGGATGACAGTGCCAAACTGATGCCAGCATGCCAGGGCTGGGAAGACACCAACAGTGCCATTTTGGGGACACACCACCAGAACCAGGCAGACACCGGCAGCTCCAAACTGATACCAGGGTGCCAGGATGAAGCAGCCATCAGCAGTGCCAGTTTGGGGACACAATGCCAGGACACGGCAGATGCTGGCAGCACCAAATCAGCCCCACAGAACCAACCCGAGGAGGATGCCACCAAGCCTAGCCGGCACAACGGTGAGGCCATGGCAGTGAGCGCCCGTCCCTTTCGGTGCGGGGCATGTGGGAAGCGGTTCGGGGCAAGCGCCGCGCTGATGCGGCACCAGGCACTGCACGGAGCCGAGCGCCCCTTCTCCTGTGCCGAGTGCGGCCGCAGCTTCTGCGACCGGGCGGCGCTGGCAACGCACCGGCGAGGGCACACAGGCGAGCGCCCCTTCGCCTGCGCCGAGTGCGGCAAAGCCTTTGCCGGCAGCGCAGGGCTCCTGGTACACCAGCGGGTGCACACGGGCGAGCGTCCCTTTGCCTGCGCCGAGTGCGGGCAGCGCTTCCGGCAGAGTGCGCACCTTGCCCAACACCGCCTGGGCGCCCACGGCACGCGGCGCCCACACCCCTGCCCGCAGTGCGGCAAAGCCTTTGCTCTCCGCTCCACGCTGGCCCGGCACACTCAGACCCACACCAGCGAGCGGCCCCACGCCTGCGGCGACTGCGGGCGCCGCTTCCGCCAGCGGGCTCACCTGGCCCGGCACCGCCTGGCACACACGGGCGAGCGCCCCTTCCCCTGCAGTGAGTGTGGCAAAGCCT